AGAAGCAACCAGGAATTAAAGAAACATTTCCTGACTCACTGAACAATTCACCAGTGGAACAACTTGCCACCAGAAGTTGTAGGTGCTCCATCATGGGAGGCTTTCGAAAAGAGATTGGACATTTCATTTGTCTGGAATAGTCTAGGGCCTCCTGCTTGAGCAGAGGGTTGGACTAGAAGACCTCCAAGGTCCCTTCCAGCTCTATTCTGATTGATTGATTGAAATGGTCTGGGGTCTCCTGCTTGAGCAGGGGGTTGGACTAGAAGACCTCCAAGGTCCCTTCCAGTTCTATTCTGATTAATGGATTGAAATGATCTAGGATCTCCTGATTGAGCAGGGGGCTAGACTAGGAGACCTCCAAGGTCCCTTCCAACTCTATTCCGATTGATTGATTTGATTGATTGAAATGCCCTAGGGTCCCCTGATTGAGCAGGGGGCTGGACTAGAAGACCTCCAAGATCCCTTCCAGTTCTATTTTGATGGATTGATTGAATCATTGAAATGGTCTAGGGCCTCCTGCTTGAGCAGGGGGTTGGACTAGAAGACCTCCATGGTCTTTTCCATCTCTGCCCTTCTGTAATTCTATAACCCCAGATTAATTCACCCGTGGAACGGCTTGCCACCAGAAGTTGTGAGTGGCTCCATCGCTGGATAGTTGCTTCTTTGGAATGCTGGAGTTTTGCTGGCTGGGGAATTCTGGGAGTTGAAGTCCACAAGTCCTTCAAGCGGCCAAAGTTGGAGACCTCCCCCCCTCCCTATTCTAAGGGACCGAGCGAAGAGCAAAAAAGAAAAAAAAGATTTCCCACGCTGTAAACACAGGTTAGTCCTGAACGATGCTTCACTTAGTGACTGAAGTTACAACGGCACTTGGGGGAAAAAGGTAACTGTTTTTCAAAGTGAACGATTACGATTGCGACATAACCGCAGCGGCCACACGGCGTTTGCCCCCCCCCTTTTACGTCCTTCTAACGAGCGATGCCAAAGGGGGTGGGGGAGGCTGATTCATTGAACGTCCGTGCGGCCAACGTGACGACGCCAGGGATTCGCTCAGCAGCCGTCTTAAAAAGTCCTAAAACGGGGCCAAACTCAACCCATTTCTCACTTGCCACGACATAAATTCTGGGGTTCAAGTGGTGAGGATTACCTACGTAGAAAGCAATTAACCAACTTTGTTGTATACAAGATGGATAGTGACAATAACGGCCATGCTGTTTGACGTTTTCACAAGTCCCTGGTAGAGAATATCTAAGGACAGGCCATGGAGGTCTGCATATAATTCTATCTGCCCCATTTTAGGGGGCTGGGGGGGGGGCAGAAGATGGGTAGGGGGGGGTCCTTCCTGGGCACGCAGCTCAGCCTCCACGGTCCTCCGAGAACTTGCTGTCTTGTTCAGTGGCCAAAAAAACCCTCCTCCAGCTGGACCTCATCTCCAGCATCTTCCCGATGACCCCATCACTCCCCCCGTCCCATCCCATCAGGGCTGTGGCAGAAACCAGCCTCGGATGTTGCCCCGCCCCCCGCTGCCTGCCTGCCCCCTAACCTCTTCCCTCCTGGTGCAAGAGAATCATGGGGCCCGAGGAGGAGGAGGAAAACCCCATTGCAAAAAAAGGAGCCACCATTTTGGAATGGTCTCGGTCTCCTGAAACATAGGAAGAAAATTTGGAGGAATGGGGAGGGGAATGTCTTGTCTAATGAAGAGAAGGATTGGGGGGTGGGGGGGAATGACATGATAGCAGCGTTCCAATATTTGAGGGGCTGCCCACCAAAGAAGAGGGAGTCAAGCTATTCCCCAAGGCACGTGAGAAGCAATGGATGGGAACTAATCAAGGAGAGAAGCAACCTGGAATTAAAGAGGAATTTTCTTGACAGTTACAATTAACCAGTGGAACAGCTTGCCACCAGAGGTTGCGGGCGCTCCATCACTGGAGGTTTTAAAGAAGAGACTGAATGGGATAGGAACAGAATACAGAAAATGAATGCAGTGGTGGGATGGGGTGGAGTAGAACAATATAGAAGTAAAAGGGGCTCTAAGAGGCTCTCCAGCCTGACCCAGTAGGTTTCACACTTAATGTCCAAATCTCACTTTACGTCCTGCTTTAATATAGTAATAAAATAGAATAGAGAAGAGAATAGAGAAAATGAATGGAATGGAATAGAAGAGTATAGTAATAGAATAGAATATAGAAATTAATAGACTAGAAAATATAGAATGCAGAAAATAAATAGAGAAGATGAATGGATTGGAATAGAATTGAATAGAATGTAGAAAATAGTACTAGAATAGAAGAAAGAATAGAATGCAGAAAATA